GGACTCTTTGCTGCTTTTACAGATCCAGACTAACACGGCTACCCCTCTGACACTTATTTGCTGAGTGGCTTCATGTTTATTGAGGGCATTGGTAGGAAAGAAATGTGAGCTATCCAAAATTAATCCCCTAAATTATTCTACCAAATATGCTTTAGGAATTATTCTAGAAGAATACTCTGGCCTGTGGTATACAGGATGTCAGATTAGATTGTCACAATGGTCCCTTCTGGCCAGAGAAGCTATGAATCTGTATTTATTTGTAGGGGAATACACACAGGTATAGCTTTACACACCTCACATCTATACTTGATGTCATAGTTTGATACCCTACGATGGCATCTTATTCTCATCAGGAATCAAAAATCTGAGTTAACATCAAGTTAAAGTTGTTCCATGTTAAAAAAAACCTCGGCAGCCAATTAAAACCCTAGAGATTTAAAACAACGGCATGGAAGGATGAAAAGAAAAGCAGCTAAACAGTGAAATATCCAAATGGCTCAGAGTCACTCAAATCAAATATCGTATATTGGATGTTGAAACTAGCAAGCCACCTTAACCCTGACCTCAGCAGGAGAAAAATTGACTCTGATCTTAGTAACTCAAAGGGGAGAAAAGAAAAACAATCTTAACTCTGGCCTCAGAATGTCCAAGAGGAGATAAAAAACAGAACCTTTACTCAAATGAGTTAAGGATTTGTTTTTCCTTATGAAACTTTTCTCATTCTCTAATTGAAATCAAATGAATACTATCATTGATTATTTATATTATTCTAGTGCCTGTGAACCTCAGTCACAGACCACGACCCGCTGTGCCAGGCATCATACAAAACATAGACCAGACAATGCCTGCCTCAAGGAGTTTACAATCTAAGTATGAAGTCTTGACTTTTTGGGAGACTCCTGCACCCCATCTAAGGCCCATTCTGACTCGTGTTTTTTCAGAACAGAGGACTCCGGACTCTGGGAATGTTGGAAACTTAAGCGCTACTTTATTACAGCTAGTGAAAAGCAAGAAACAAAATGAAAGAACCCTTCTGCCCACCCCGAATGCACTGATCCCGATCCAGGCGGCTGCATTTACAGGGGAAAGATATCAGAGTCCATGGCTGATTCTAGGTCCCGTCACTCCAAACGGTAAAGAGCCTTAAATTACAAGCAAACAGGCAGACCAATGAATCCAATTCTGAAAGCAAATGACCCAGCCCCAGGAAATTCCAGGATCGGGGTTTAATGGGAGGTAAGGAATCAGTTGTTACAGTTACAGGATATTGTAATGTTAACTCCTTCTCTGCTGACAGCCGATCTCCCAGGCAGGGGACAGGTTCCAGCAAGGCCTCTGTCTCCAATTCCAGTTCTGTCCCCTTGGTGCTAGTGTACCTGTGGGGGTGAGTGTGAGTGGACAACAGCTAGGCTGTCAGGCCTTTCTGCCTGTGGCTTGAGTAGAGGGGATTGGCTTGGATTCTGATGCGACCTGGACTATTATCTCTCCCGGCTTCCTTCTCAGGTCAGATTCGCCCTCTTGAGGAACTGGGGGGAGACACCCCCCTTTACTCCTTCTGCAGAGCCATTTGTAGCCACAGAGATCAGCACCTGCCCCCCCAGATATTTCTGGCTTCTCACCCGTGCAGCGAGTTCTCAGACACGGCTTCCCAAGACCAAACCCGTCCGTGTCCCAGATCCAGCCTCTCCCTCTCTCCTCCTTTCACTCCTATCTCATGTTGCTAATGGGATCGGGATCTCACTTCCTTCCCCCGTGCGGGTCTCTGCCTCCCATGCTCGATTGTCAGTGTTGGTGTCGGCAAAAATCCTGGAGTCTCCTGTGAAACCTCCCTGAATCAGAAATGTGAATAATCACTTGCCTAACGGTGCAAATGTGACACCACCGGGGGCTATTGGGGAACAGTATAAATGTACCATTCAGGCTGGGAGGCTGTTGGGGAATCATATAAAAGTAGCACTCAGGTTGGGGGGGGGGGGAGCTGGTTGATGGGGAATGGTATAAATGTGACACCCAGAGGAGCTATATTAATGTGATGCTCAACTGAGTGTGGAGATGAGATTCTTCCTTCCCACAATGCTCAGTCAGAGGCCGACTCTTCTTAGCCCTGCCAGCACCCCGATCTCCTGCACCCCCCTGCACCCATCAACCATCCCCACCCAGTTCCCCAAACACAAGTCCCCACCTCTGCCAGCCCCCTAAATAGGTTGGTCACCTTTCTAATGGCTGGTAACCGTAGCCCTGAAGCCCCATCCTTTGCTCTGCTTCTTCCTCAAGGCCCTTCCCCCTGCTCCGCCTCTTCCCCCGAGGCCCCGCCCCTTCTCCGCCTCTTCCCCTAAGGCCCCGCCCCTTCTCCGCCTCTTCCC